AGCTTCCCCGGACCTTCCATTTCTATCTTGACGGCGTCTCTAACGCTTTCCAATTCAATGTTATAGTCTACATATTTTATGTCAAATTGGTGAAGCCGGCGTGTAAGTGTGCGAATGCTCCATGCATATTCCGGATACCGCTTTTCTACCAAACCAAGTATTTCGTACTTGTGAAGATTCTGGCGAACATATGTAGCTAGATCATTCTTCAAAGCAATGTTTTCTTTCCATTCATCGTTCCTTATCCTTGCGGTCGCCATTTTGACAAGTGAAGAGGATAAATTAACATAGCGCGCGCGTTGCATGATGGGCTATGGCCTTCCTGGTCTTATGGCCTCGATGGGCCATAAAGGTTTTTTGTTGTTTTTTTTTTTTTGGAGGTTTTTGCAATTAAAATGAATCAAAAACGATTGAATTAAATTGAAAAAATTTCGGATTTTTTTTCAAATAAGAAATGAATCAAACTGAATTAAAAAGATTAAAACCAGAATATTTGCTTTTTTAATTGAAATCTATAAGAAATAATTTGAAATGAACTAAAACTTAAAAAAGTTAAATAAAAAATAAATGAAATAAATGAAATAAATGAAAAACAAAACAAAACAAACCAAACCAAAAATAAAATAAAACAAAACAAAACAAACAAACAACTATAAAAATAAATTTAGTAAATATTCATTTGTTGGTTAATTAAAGAAAGAAAAATGTAATAATAAGAAAAAATAAATAAAAAAAATATATATCTAAGCAGAAAAAAAAGTAAAAACAAAAAGTAAACAAAACAAAACATTTTTGGCAAAAATTTAAGTAAAATAAAAATGATGTCAATATAAAAATTGAAAAATAAAATAGTATTAATTAAAATATGAAAAAAAAGAAAACAGAAAACAATCTTTTTTAACAGAAAAATAGGAAATTCGCTATGGCCTCGATGGGCCACCATACTTATCTAGGGGAGGGCCATCCTAGGTTTTAGGTTTAGCTAAGAAAAAATGTTATACCATCGAGTCGATTTTTCATGGACCGATATACTGTATAGGGTTCCAGTGAGTACGCACATTCCCTTCACAATGAGTACTTCCGTGCTTCTTGCGTCTATGTACCAGCAAAAGAAAACAATACTCTGAGTAAAACTAAACTAGCAAATTATTTGTTGAAACGTCAAAATTTGGCCTCAAACATTTATCTTCGAAATTGGTAATATTAGAAAACCAATAATATGACAAAAACCTCAGGAGAGCGAAATCAAAGCCACAGGGATTCCGACCAATTTTGCCATAGCTTCTACTTCACATTTGCATGTCCGGGAAATCGATTTGCGAAATAAAAAGCAAATTACTTTCGAGCATTTTGAGAGTCACTTTTTAGGAAAAAGAAAAATGAAAACAGGATGACTTTTCGCTTTGAATTGGAAATGCTGAAAAAATATGGGAGAAACTAAGCACCGATCTACCGATCTGTGTGAACTCTTCTTTCATCAAACCTTTAGGTGGCTTGTTTCACCCATCCCATTGGTGGGAATAATAGCGTGCTTTTTCTGCAAACTTTGGTATAGCCTGAGACTAGTGTGTGTGGGGTGGGGGAGGGTCATCGGTATTTTTGGGACTTTTGAGGGAAGTGTCAAAAGTTTAGTTTTAGAATTACTGGGGAGGGTCACACATTCTTATGGAAAAATTACACTGAAAACACCAGCCCCCCCCATAATGAACGTACCTTCCCTACGCAAAATCTATCACATCGATCGCGTCGCTGGTAAAAGTGAAAATATGTGAAAATATAGCATACAGATTTCTATTTATGCCATTTACTCTATGAAAGTCTCGTTATATATAGTACACATAATTACGAAAACGTTGT